GAGAGAGAGAGAGAGAGAGAGAGAGAGAGAGAGAGAGAGAGAGAGAGAGAGAGAGAGAGAGAGTTACCTGCTTGTCGTTGTTGTTGTGTGCGGTCATAGCTGCCAGCTTGAGAACCTGTGTACATCATTTCAAGTTGGAAATCAGTTCCCACTCTTCCGAGTGTGCTCATATCGTGTGAATCTTGCTGCTTTGGTGTGGATCTCGAGTGTGATGCATACATGAAGTTCGAAGCAGTAAAGGCCAGAAATCAAGATCTTTTTTCAGTACAAGCTGGACCTTTTGATCCCTTTCATCATTATTCTTATTGATAGTAAAAATCCCGGCCCCAATTTTCTCTCTGCCTGGTTTACTCAGGTGGACCCAGCGCTACTTGCCTGGCTGCATGGGCCTAGGCTGAACTGTGATCTTTCTCCCTTATTAATTTCTCAGTCAGCAACGTATACAAATCAAAACGTTTCTCCCGATATTCCGATATTGGGAGTGCCTGGTACAAACCACTCCATACAATCCAATCAACCTCCCCCCCAGCAGTCACATAACCTTAGGTTGAAGTCCGATTTTCACCACTTATTAATTTCTCAGTCAATAATGTATGGTACAATATGTTATTCCAGATGTCGGGAACGCCCGGTAAACACCAATGCATACAATCCCATCGACCTTCCCGAGGCCTCAGACTAACATGCGCATCAGCCCTGTACATGCTAAAATGCATAATATCAAAAAGTCTAAATAACTCTCCGCCTCCGAAAACCCTCCTCAGGGTTTCCGTATACTGCACTGCAACACTCTCTTTCTCTAACATTGCCTCTTCCCTCTCAGACAGTGGGTTTGTTGCGTTGCACATCCCCCCTTGTTTCCAATTGCCATATGAGAAGTGTGATGGTGAGTATGTCTGGATGTAGACTGGACCTCTGAAGCGCGATGTGCGGATGAAATCCCTCACCGTCGTCATTGCCTCCTCAAAGGCCTGCAGGTCATCCATTTCATCCAGTATGAGCCCCTTCCGAGCATATAATTTGTACTTCCCCGATGCATCATACCATTGCCCGGTGCCCAGGAAAAGAATGTCCGACATCACAACTGCACGCCTCACCTCCCTGCCTATCACGTCAACATTGACAAGGAACGACTCAGGCAACTTCTGCGTCCTATGGACTCTCTGGAAATCTTCTAACTTGGAGCTCTCCCTTACAAGAAAATGCGCTGTTGCGAATCGCAGTGTAAGGCCATATCTGCACCAGTACATTCATCACAGCAGTCGTACAAAGTCAATGACCACGGCCGTACACATCTACTAGTACGGGAAAAGCTGGATGATGATTTGACCTCTTGCAGGATGAAGCAGCAAAAGTCAACCTGTCCCAGTCCCTCACATAGAGGCGCATTGCCAGACTTATGGCGGTATGGGAACATATGATTCATATGCACATTTTCTTTGAGTGCAAGCACATCAGGAAAACCGGTGAATGGGAGTGTAATGCTCAGTGGATTGCAGTTTGTTATTTCAGTCCTGTGCCAGGTCCCCATAAGGTCGGCTCGAATGGTAGAGGGTTAAGCCACAAGTACACAGCCCCAGCCTTGCAGTCAGAAACTTGTCGCCACAAGGAAAAGAGGCCTAAACGTCAACCGCTGGGCCCGCCGTTGATAAATTCTATCGGCAGTTGCATTTTCATTTCGCGCCTCCAGAATTTCAGGTGTCAGCCCTGCGGCCCAGGTGCCCCGATGTTGAATTAAGAGCCCTGACGGCAAGAAACCCTTTTGAACCAACAAGCCAGGGTTGACGGGCTGGCCGCTGGTAAACCTCCAAAACCTTGCAGTTGGGGGCCCAAGACCCATGGCAAGACCCTGGCTGCGAAGCTCTGCAACACACAGGAACATATGTCTTTTGCGGAGTGCTTTCTGGGGTGAAAGTGGTGTACAAGAAGAGAGCAGATGACGCTGGTGATGTCGATGATGATGGATGACATGGAGCAGGACGGGTAAGACTTGAAAGAAAAAAACATAACTGATCATAGATCTGTCATTTGATTTGCATTTGACAATACATGCTTGATCATAGACCTGTCATTGGATTTGGATTCGCAGCGCCTCAAATCCCTGAGGTGCATCAGACCCCAAAGTCTTGGGTACTAGAAGGCGGAGATCAAAATACCATGAATCATTGCAAATCCTAGTCCTATGGCATAAGCTGGGGATCCGAAATGCGGCGAATCTGAGAGAGACCTTGATTGAGAAAATGAATTGATAACGCTACCTTGGGAAAGGGGAGGAAGTTACAAACGATATTCCAGACTGCTTGGTGATAATCAGGGTTGTCGAGCCCCGGCCCTGGGGCCACGGCGGGGGTCCGGGGGTCCGGGGTTGGGCACCCCTGACCCCGGCTCCGGACCGCCCCCCAAAAAAAAAATCAAAAAAAAATCAAAAAACAATTCAAAAAAATAAAAA